AATTATTGAACAAGACAGCCGATCGCGTTTGTATGACTTAGTACACATTGAACATATACTGATTATAGTTTTAGTTTCTATATTTAAGCATACTTTATACAATTATTGTCCTGAAAAGAACGCAAAAACCCTTATTTAAACGAGACAACTATTATAACATGCATATCATCCATTGCTGGAATGAGGCAATTATTATAACCAATAAGTTACTTTACATACGTTTTTCGTCATTTTGCTACATCTAAAAATAATATATGAATGACTTTCTATTTATCCATCCATTCTCTTGATGATTAAAATTTCTTAAAACTTTGAAACTGTCTAAAGATAAGACACTGTTTGTTAGGAGGTCGTCACATCTTACTGTTAACTAATCACTTTACTATTTACATTTCAAATTTCTTTGGTAATTTTCGTTTCTGGCTTCTACATTTAATCATTCAGTCAGCTCAGGTGTTTTGAAGTTATATAGACTGATCGGGTAAGTTTTGCTATTTTAAGTATTTTCTATAATAATAAAGTGATTGGTTAAACAGTAAGATGTGACGACCTCCTAACAACAGTGTCTTCATTACATGGCCCTCTGGTGACACTTCGTGGAACTATGACGCCATCCTCTCTGGTGACGTCATCGTCTATATCCATTCTCTCTCTCTCTCTATTGCCCGAGGTTGACACACATGTAGCGCCTTCTGGTGGCATGTCGCGCAATCCCACGCTTAACTATTAGTATTAATTTGAGAAGCTATTATTTATCCTAGAGCGCTTAATTAAAATACTCATAAGTAATTTGTTTTAATAGCATGATTACTCGTTCCTTTTTAAAGCTGAGGTTTATTGGTTCTCTTTAATTTTTAGTGTTCTTCAAATACTCGAAATGTAAATCGACTTTCTGGTGAATACGAGTTTTGAAAAATTTTGATCGTCAACAAATTCTTAAGTGGGTGTTAAAAACTGGCAATAGACGTTTCGCTTTGATGTTACATAAATTCTGGAGAGATTTTCATGACAGTCGTAATTGTACTCTGACTACTCTCTACCAAAGCTGAAATTTAAACAAATACTAACAGCTTACAGTTACAGTTTCTATATTAGGGAAGGTGTGTTTGAACATGCTCTTTAATTATCACGTTCAGCTGTACTGGGACTTTGTGACAATTCAGCGAATGATACACGTCTTTCAACGATCCAGTTTTGATCATTCGGTAACCCAAGCTACATGAATCATGTGAAAATAAGAGTTTTTGGGTTTGGCTGTTCGCCCTGTCTAAGGGTGATACTGCCCAAGCATAGACCGTTGTTTCTTTAATAATACTAACTCATCACCATCTCTTCTTCCCTTACAATTATAAACGATATATATATAGCTGCCCCCCAGTGGCACGTCTGCGGACTTACAACGCTAGAAACCGGGTTTCGATACCCGTGGTGGGCAGAGCCCATTGTGTAGCTTTGTGCTTAATTATAATATATATATATAGCTTCATCTCGATGATATATCATCCCGAATTACGTCTGGCGCTCATACAGCTTTCAAGAGGTTGATTGCCCCGACTTGCTGTGATATCAATAATAAATCTTCTGATGCTGCACTTGTTAGCTAGTGGAGTTACCATGTCAAAATACATGAACATACACCAAAAAATATAGCAACGTTTTTATAATAATGTGTTTTCTTTCTTTTTTTTCGATGTTCTTTGGAAGCATGTTTTCAGAAGAAGAAAATGAAAAAAAATTGTTGTAACATTACTAGCTGCAAGGGGAACCGAAATTACATCTCTTGTTGCTGTTGTTTTTTTAATAAAAAGGATGAAACCAATGTTTATTTTCACGAAAACTTTGGTAACTTTTTCTCTATT